ATGACCGATATCTAGATGAACTAATGTCGGCATTCTGAGCAGCAATTTTGGCACAGTCAGCTAATTTATCTTTCAACTCGATAACATACTGATACGTAGAACGCTGGTCCTCATTTACATTAGGATTTTCCCATAAATCTCTCAGGACTGATAGTGGCCCCCTCACGGTACGACCATAAAGTAGTTCAAAAGGAGAAAACGCCGTACGGTCGCTCGGAATTTCCCTCAATGCAAAAAGAGTAGGTATGAGATAACGATGCCACTCCTTCGGTTTTTCTATACACAACTTTCTTAAGGAAGCCTTCAGTGTACTATGGAATCTCTCTATCCTACCATTACAACTCGGGTGATAAGGAGTTGTGAAAAGGGGCTTTATACCGAGTAACTTGTGGAGTTCACCCATTAATTTGGAAGTAAACTGTGTGCCTCTGTCTGAGAGTATCTCCCTAGGAATGCCTACTCGAGAGAAAATCACTAGTAAAGCCTCAGCTACAGACACTGAATCAATGTCTTTCAACGGAAGAGCATCAGGGAACCCGGTGGCAAAATCTATTAACGTTAAGATGTATTTATGACCCTGGGAAGACGCAGGAGTTAATGGTCCCACAATGTCAATCGCGACGCGAGAAAAAGGTTCAGTCACAATAGGTATTGGCTGCAATGGGGCTGGCTTTATCCTGCCTTTACTGGACATTCTCTGGCACTTCTCACAAGATCTACAGTAGTCTTTGATATCAGCGCCCATTCCAGGCCAATAAAATTGTTCCCTTACCTTAATTTCTGTCTTACGGTGTGAGAAATGGCCTGCAAGTGGACTTTCATGTGCCAGACTGAGAATTATCTTCCGGCAATCCGCAGGTACAACCAGAGAAGATTTACCAACCCTTTCACGGAATCTGGAATTCACACAGGAACGGTAGATCAATCCATTCATAACCTCATATTTATACAATGATCCATCGCGCATGTTTTCCGTTTCCCCAGCATTAGCCTTGCACCTGATACCTGACAAAGATGGACAAGATAACTGGAGTTTGACGAATTCAGAAGGTGTGATATTGAGAGGTTCTAACTTCGGTAATACGAGTGGATGAACCCTCTTAATTTTACCTGACCTAGTTTCAACTGCTTGAACATATTCATCAGTAACATTATTCGTTCTTGCAACAGATACAGTACGTGGTATAGTCTCAATATGGTCAGACACAGCTGAACTGATGGTAGATTTGCTATTAATAGCATCAGGGTCATTATGATCTCTTACACCTGGAATATTCCCAATTAATACAGAGCAAAATTTGATTGGCGCCCTTACAGCTTTAACCCATCCAACATAATATGGGCATCGAATGAAACATTTGACTAGAGGGAAAGTGTCTGTACGCCCAAGATAATCGAAAACTCTAGTCCACTGACATGTTGCCAGATCAACATCCGGGAGTAACTGTTCAGCAACAATAACGCAAGAACAACCGGAATCTCGGAGGATAGTTGAAACCCAAGAACCATTGATGGTGCCAGAAGTTAAGAATTTACGAGGCGAGTTGTCATCAAAAGAAAAGTTGACGGTATAATTAGATTGTTGCTTGAAAGCAAAAGGGTTTTTAGGGCAACGTGGTTTGATGTGCCCGACTTCACCACAACCATGACATGTTACTTTAGGTCGCGGAGCTTTCACCTCAGCTTCCTCTGGAACCAACGGTTTGGTCTGAACCATCCTCTTACCTCTGTGGAGACAGGTGTTCGATTTCGGGTAAGATCCATGAGCGGAAGCCCAAGTGTCTGCAAACCTCGCAGCTTCATCAAGAGTAGAGGCGCTGTTCTCTTTCAGAAACATACGGATATCTGGGGAAACGCAAGACTTTAGCTGGTCTAATATCATAAAAGAACGTAAATTTTCATAAGATTTCTCTACGTTACTGGCATCCACCCATAAATCGAACATCCGTCCTAACTTAATTACAAATTGCTTAAATGTTTCACCTGGTTTAATTTTAGCAGAGCGGAAGTCCACTCTGTACCCATCTGGAGTCTTAGCAAAACTATCAAGAAGACATTTCTTTAATAGCTCATAATCTTTAGTTATTTCAGGTGATAAACTTGTATACACATCTACTGCCTTCCCTGTCAAAAGGCTGCCTAACCTCACGGCATAACTTTCTTTCTTTATATTCAAAAGATCAGCCACTCTTTCAAACCTTATCAAATACAACGAAATATCTTCACTATCATGAAACACAGGTAAGCTAGGTCTCACAGTATCACCACTAAACACTGGAGTGATGGAGGCATTATTATTAGCCTGGATTTTCGTCATTTCAAGTTCATGAGCGAGACGTACCTTCTGATTTTCAGCTTCTATTTGTAACTTTTGCAACTCACGCTCTTTAGCTCTTTCTTCCCTGTAAACGTTTTGCTGTTTACTCACATAATCGGACAGCGCATCACCTGAGAGTCCTAGGGTCTCAGCCTGCCTCACCAGTGTCTCAAAATCTGCCATCACAAAAAAATATTACACAATGTTAATTAATACAACAGCACAATCACAATCACATTTAGAACAAATCTCATCTCCGGGACCCAAGGACGATGAGGGGAGGCTGGATCATACCTGGCTCCCGAGAAAACTACGATGAAAGTGGTTTCGCAAACCCAGAGACTACCAATCCTACTCACTGCGCCACTTGTGAATAATTAGGTTCTTTATTCATTTGGATCAGTTTAGTCTCGGGTTGGATCGAAAAGACATTTCATCGTTTATATTTATTACATTCATAAATATATTTATTACAGTAGTTCACAACAATGTCACTTCCCTTTTTCACTTTCACCAACACAATATAATTTCAGGTAAGATTTTCCCGTTCAAGGTCAGCATTAGTTTCCTGCTTTCGTTGACTTTTGGTCACATTAGAAGGCAGGATGTTAACGTGGAAAATCTGGAGGCGCCTCTCCTGTCCGGCCCTTGGCAGTAGTAGGTCCCTTTTATGGAAATAAATGCCCGAACTAATTAACCTTTAAGTTATTTACGTAATTCTAAATAATGACATACCATGTATAAAATCTAAAAATTAAATTCACACTTCTCCTACAATCCCAATAAGAAAATAATTACCTTACCCTGTATGGCTGCTCACGAGCGACTGACAATAGTGCGTGTGCTAAGTGGCCACCTTGGCCATGTCACGGACGGCCACGTCATGAACCTTTTCTCGCCACAAAACGAACCCGAATCTCCGAACACCCAAAACCAAACCATATATTGTCCGAAAAAAACAAGCTCGCTCATTTGGCGCACAACACCTTGCTAATATCTTTCCTTAGCAATCTTAAATACGAGGTTTTTCCTCCACACATACATACATATATATGTACATATATACATTCATGTTTATATATATATATATATATATATATATATATATATATATATATATATATATATATATATATATATTTACATATATATATAAATTTATACACACACATATCTCTCTCTCTCTCTCTCTCTCTCTCTCTCTCTCTCTCTCTCTCTCTCTCTCTCTCTCTCTCTCTCTCTTTCTCTTTCTCTTCTCTTCTCTCTCTCTCTCTCTCTCTCTCTCTTCTCTCACTCTCTCTCTCTCTCTCTCTCTCTCTCTCTCTCTCTCTATATATATATATATATATATATATATATATATATATATATATATATATATATGCTCGCGCGCGTGTGTATCCATGTATGAATATGAGTACGTATGTATGTACGTACATGAACCGAGTGTGTGCATGTATATGTATATATATGTTATGCGCTATCAACCGATCTGCGCCATCGATCGATTGCGCAGCGCCATCTATGGATCTTTCGTTAGCGCAGCAATCGGTAGATCGCGCAACGATCGATGGATAGCGCTGCGCGTTCGGGGGAAAAGTGGTAGACGAGATTGCTACTGTCGCTGCCCGGATGATGGAAATTTGATGGTGGAATGCGAAGGATGCGAAGAATGGTTTCACGCGGAGTGTCTCAACCTGACGAGAAAATCAACACGGCAATGGAAATTATGCAAGGCCTGTTTGTGAAACAGGAAAAATTGACTTTTATATTTTGTGATATATTTTAAGGTTGTATGTGCTTGTTGATTGATTGAATACTTAAATAATTTTATATTGTTTTTTTTTTTTCTTCTTCTTTTTATATGAAGGAAATTTGACAAAATATAGTGTCAGGGAGATATCACAATGTACTGATCAATAAAAATTGTAGACTGTGAAGGGAAATTTTATTTATAATATTGTAGAATGGAATAATATTGTAGAATGGAAATTATGAAATGTACTGGTAAATAAAGTTTGAAGACTGATTTTAAAAGATTATATTTCTTTGTATTTATCCAATAAATGAAATTAAGTAAAACTATGCTTGTGTATTTTTTTATTTTAAATCGCTATATTCTCTCCAAACCTGAAAAATAATGAAGCTGTAGGAAAGGATGGTAAGAGTTGTCAGTACTCATGACGAAAAATCGGTCGATCGCGCTGCGCGATCAATAGACACTTCATGCGCCACAAGCCAGTGTTCCGACCATATCGATCGATTGCGCAGCGCGATCTACCGATTGCTGCGCTAACGAAAGATCCATAGATGGCGCTGCGCAATCGATCGATGGCGCAGATCGGTTGATAGCGCATAACATATATATTCATATAAGCTTGTGCATCTCAAGGCTTATTTTAGCGCAGCCGTCAGAGAGACAGATTAATGAGGAGAGGGAAACCAGGGTCGTGTTTTTCTGTGATTGATGTCAGAGGGGTTAGTTCTTTGTTCCAGCAATAGTAAGTGTATGTCTCGTTGTGCAGCTGAGAGTGTGTGTGTGTGCTTGTTTGTGCATGTGTGTGCGGGGAGGGAGGTATTTGTTTTTTTGTATGTTTTGTTTGTTTGTGTGCGTGTGTTTGTGTGTATGTTTCGTTTAGTTTGTGTGCGTGTGTGTGTATAACTGTACGTCTTTCCATGTACGTGGATGCATGCTTGAATTCGATATTCAATACACATGACGACTTCCCATATATTTTTTCTTCCACACGAACTATAAATAAACATATATTTTCAAAGAATTATGCATAGAAAGAAGAAGAAGAAAAAAATCTCCTTTGTGTGCGTGATCAATGATAACTGAGGAGTGACCTGCCTTAAATGTGCTTTTTCATGAAATCTTTGATGGAGGATGGTAGAGAGGGGAGAAGGGGAGTGAGAGTGAAAGTGAAAGAGAGAAAGAGAGAGAAGATGAGGGAGGGGGGAGAGGAGAGGATGAAAGAAAGGAGGAAAAGAAACAGTCAGATAGAGAGAGAGAAACAGAGTTAGAGAATGAGACAGATAGATCAACAAACAGATAGAGGTAAGTAAAGAGAGAGAGAGAGAGAGAGAGTGAGAGTGGTGAGAAGGATAAGTGAAAATCTTTATTCTTCGCCAGTTAGAAAGTGAGACAGCGAGAGAGGGAACAAGAAAGACGTATAAAATGGAGATCGCTTAAAGACGCACTATGGCAATATCGACTAACTTTGATTTGCTGGAGAAAACACATAAAAAATAGACATTAAAAAGCAAAATAAGTTTACACATTTTTTTTTTTTTTTTACATTTTATTAAAAAGACAATTATATTTGGCTACAAAGATTAGACATGTTACAGTCATTTTTTTTTATTTTTTTAGACAAAAGGAATTCATTTTTAGTGACCCCTATCTTAAAGTCTTACCTCATTTCATTGCGCCATGTATTTATATACTTTAACACATAATATGCGATCATGTAACTATCTGTTAGAATGACCTATTCAAAGTTACCATTTATGTAGAAAAACTCCACCTGGAGAAAAGAGAAAAAAGAAAAGAGAGAGAAGAAAACTGAAAGAATAAGTACATGAACATAAGATAATAAGATAAATGAAATAGAATTCTAGACGTCCATCACCATTATCATTATTACTGTCATTATTATTACTATTTATGTTATTGTTATTATCATCATTATTTTCATTGTTGTTAGTATTGTTATTTCTATTACTTTTTAATTATTGTCACTTCTATCATTATTGTTACTATTATTATTATTATTATTATTATTATTATCATTATTATTGTTATTATTATCACATTATTATTATTATTATTATTATCATTATTACTATTATTATTATTATCATTGTCATTATTATTATCATTATCATTATCATTATCATTATCATTTTCATTATCATTATTATTATCGTCATGATCACATTATTATTATTATCAATACTATTGTTGTTGTTGTTGCAATTGTTACTATCATCTTTATTACTATTAGTATCATTTTCATTACCTTTATAACCATTGTTATTATCATCATTATCGTTATCATTGTTACTATTATCTTAATTGTTAATATTTACCTTTTATCATTGTTACTGTTATTGTTATCATCATTATCACTATCATTATCATTATTATTATTTTCATCCTCATTATCATCCTTATCATTATAATTATCATTATAATTGCCTTCATTTTTTATTATCAAAATTCCCTTGTTTTTTATCATTATTATTATTATTGCTATAATTACTATAAGTATCATTATTATTATTACTATTATCAATATTGTTATTGCAATCATTATCATTATATCATTATTATTGTTATTATTACTACAATTTTTTTTCGTTATCAATATTACTTTTATCCTTATTATCATTATTATTATCATTAATATCATTATCATTATCATTACCATTACTATTATCATTATTAGTGCTATTTTTATTGCTATTATTATTATCATAATCATTATTATTATTATCATTATCATTATCAACCCTTATTCTGATTATCATTTTATTTATCATTATAGTTTTCATTACCATATTTATAAATAATATTATCATTATCATTAGTATGATCATTATTGTTATCATCATCATAACATCATCACTTCTATTACCATTATTATTTTCAGTACTAAAATCATTATCATTACTACAACTATTATCACCATTATCACTAACATAATAAGAATGACGATAGTGAAGATAATGATGACGAAGATGATAATGATGATGATCATGATGATGGAAATCTAACCGATTTTTTCATAAGTGGTTTGATATAAATCTCGCAATATACCTTCAACCCCCCCCCCCCCTCTTTATAAGTTACCATGCTGTACCTCATCCTCTTTATGACTAAGCTGTCGAGAGAGCAAAGCTTACCACGATAACCTTGCTCGATATATTGAGTGCCATAAAGTAAGCTTGTCTAATCGAGAAATAAGTAAGCAGACCGGAGTGTATAAGGAAGGAGGAAAGGGAAAAGGGAGGAAGGGAAAAGAAGAAGCAGATAAAAGAAGGAGAAGGAGAAATGGAAAACGAGATGAGGAAGAGAAGGAAATAGTTATTTAGAATGTTTTATTGGACTATTTTTAGCATTTGTTTGTTTATTGCCATTTTATATTCAGTCTAGTCTTGTCATATATGTTCTGTTT